GATGGAATTATTGTAAATATATCTATTAAAAAAAAACTTTAATTTTTTTATCTCTTATGAATTTCCTCAATCACCACCCCCCCATTTATTCAATCATCTCTGATTCTTAGAGTGTGCCTGGACAAGAAGATCCTGTAGTTTTTTTCCAGAAATGCTTTGCCATTGCTTCCTTCCCAGGGGTGCCTCAGATAGAAAGTACCTACAGAGCATGGTGAAGACAGTGGAGAAGCTCGCTTCCCATTACTCAGGATACTGCTTAAAAGCGCTATGAGCTTAGAGCTCAAAGCATTGTTAGAGACCCCACACACCTACTTTATAGTCTGTTTCTGTTGCTCCCCTCTGGGAGGAGGTTTTGAAATATTTCTAGCAGGACTAGCAGATTCTGCAACAGCCTTGTTCCTTTATGCCATCCGTCTGGTAAACTCACAAGGTTTGTTTTTCTCACCATAAACATATATACATCCAAACTTGATTGTGTTGTTTCTCTGTGTCACGTAATATATGCGGGTATATGCATAATTTTGTATTTATTTATTTATTTATTCTGTCATGGTTATGTAGTGTATATTGGAGGTGGTGACCCTTTGAGAGCTCTTGCAATGAAATTTCATTTTAATGTATGCCGATTAGTGTACATTCAAAGTGACAATAAAGTTAGTCTATCCTATCCTATCCCATCCTATCCTATCCCATCCCATCCCATCCCATCCCATCCCATCCCATCCCATCCCATCCCATTGTCTTAAACCTTGAGTCTCCTGATTTGGGATGAAGCCAGCATTATCTTGTAGAGTTTCAGGCATTACCACAACTCTAAATTTCTCGCCAACTTCTCAACTTATTTTCCTATTTTAGGAGATTTTGAGGTGCAAAATCACCGCCCCCCCCCAAAGCCTCCCAGACCCCTCCAAAAGATCAAAAGTTCAGCCCTACCCATTATCTTGATCACATCACTAATCACACTCCTTGCATCCTCCAGGCACAGCAAAATTAAAACATGGCAGGAAGGTCACCACATCTGCTGGACAAAAGCAGAGGGCTGGTAGGTTAAAAACCCACATCCTCTTGGCCAGCACGCTGGATGCATGTTGCCATTGTGTAATAACTCAGAAATAGTTCAGAATAGGTGCTTCGGAGTACAAAGATAGAACTCCCTGCAATTCTGTCAAGTTACTGTGTCTGTTCCCTGGATTTTTGCATCGGTTCTGACATGATTGCAAGAATGACCAGGGAGGATAGACTTTTTTGGAGACCTGCTGACAAATGCTCATGTGTTCCTCTTCAAACCTAGATCACTGCCTAGCTCTGGTGGAAAGGACATTTTATTACGTTCGACAGGACAAAACAATGAGCAAAGAAAATTGTCAAATGATATTAAATAGCAATGAATGCATATGAGGTTGAACAAGGAAGGAAGGAAGGAAGGAAGGAAGGAAGGAAGGAAGGAAGGAAG